AGCAGTCAAGTGCCTTAGGCACTATGCTACCAGAGTTCCTAGGAACATAAAATATCATTCTAAAATTTAATAAATAATTAAACTTGTTAGAACTCAAAATTAACTTTTATTATTAATTTAGTATGAAAACTAAATATACTAACACCAAAATATAGGTGAGGAAAGTTAGTCTCAAAGAGAGGAGCTTATATTCAAGTTTATGTATTAATATTTGATAACTAATAGAGCCAGGACTAGAGTCCAGGCCAATGCCTTTTCTCTAGGCCACAATTCTCTTTCCTAAAGTTAGCATTTGACTGAAAAGAAAAAATTGTGATGACTGTTTAAAGTTTGTAGCAAATCATTGATTTTATGTTTAAAGGGCCTGTTTTGGTCTACAGCAGTGCTTCTCAAAGTGTCATCCCCAGACCACTTGGGAAATGAAACTTCTCAGGCTCCATCTCAGACCTACTGACTCAGAAATTCTGGGGCTGGAGTCCAATAATCTGTGTTTTAATAAGCTAACCAAGTGATTCTGATGCCTTCTAAAATTTGAGAACTGGTCTATAGCCTATTTTAGTTCTCTTAAATGTACTCCTTTAAGTTGTTAGAACAGCTCAGAAGCTCAGTTGTAAATTTAAGCAAGTAAGAATATTAGGGCTAGACTTGACTGTGCCCCAATCTAAGCAAGCTAAATCTCTCTGGCATTTCATTTCATCATCTGTAAAATAATATTAGAGTTAGATTGGTGGTTTGGGAGCTATATTTTACAGAGAACTTAAGAAGCAGCTTTTCCTTTTTCCATTTTTATGTATTGGGGTTCCAAACAAGATTTTGATATAAAAACAAAAGGATACTGTCAGATTTAAAAAAAAAAAGGGGGGGGGGAGAGGAGTAAAACATCTTTAATGATATGGCTCACTCAGCATTCAAAAATAATACATGTAAAAAAACAAAAAATAACCCTCATATTGGTATTTTCTTCTTCTCTCCCTATTCATAGTTAAAATTATATAGTAATTATGTATCTATAAAATAGAATTAATTGCTGAAGTATTATTTCTAGTTCTGTCATTGAATGAGTAAGAATAAATCTATTTACAAAATATTTAAGGGTCCACTTTGACTTCACATTTCCACAATTTGGGAGTTTATTCATTTTATCAATAGCTTTGGTGTTTATTTGATCTGGTATGTTAGTTTTTTGAGACACTGACAGTATATATATTCATTAGTGCCTTCTTAACTATCTCTGTCTCCTTTAGAAACATCTATTTTAAGTTCATGTTGAAATCCTGCATAGTCTCCTGATGACAGCATTGCAGTGGAAACTTCTGTGTCTTGTTTTCTGACAGGGAGACTTCTTTTGTTAGATGTTTACTTTATGTCCTTAGTAAAGTGCTTTCTCACCCCAGAGCATTTGGTTATTAATCTGTGGTAGTCTATACATGACAAATAACAGTTGCTGCTGTAACTCACATGTTCTGTATTAAGAATTTGAGCCCATATCACTTCAGACATTTAATTATATTAATGCCTTTCTTGGTGCAAATGGTTAAGTGCTTGGCTATTAACCAAAAGGAGTGGTTTGAATCCACCCAAGGGACCTTGGAAGAAAGCCCTGGCAATCTGCTTCTGCAAGATTACAGCCACTGAAAATCCAATTCTACTCTGACACACATGGGGTTTCCATGCATCAGAATCAACTCAACAGCAACAGGTTTTTTTTTTTTTTTTTTGTCTTTTTCAGAGCCCTTCTTAGCCACATTAGTTGAAACCAAATAATCATAAAAGTTAAAGTGGATAATTCTTTTAAAAAAAAAATCGACACACCTTAAACATTTATTTTAACATAAAGAATCTAAATTCTTTTGCCAGTTATATGCAATAAGGCCAAAGCTTTTATTCACTTATGGGTCTACTGATTTGAGTCCCACATCTTTCATCTTAGATAAGTTATACCATAGTGCCATATGATTTCTAGTTTAGTTTTCTTTAAGGCAGAGCAAGTCTATAGGTACTTTATTAACAGTATGAATACAGAATTCTGCTGGATTTTTGACTTTTGTTTCTCCCAGTCTTTTTATATTTACCTTGTTCACACCTAATTTGACTGCAGGCTTTAACAACTTAATTGGATCTTTCCAAAGCAATCACCTTCGTTTTCACAAACCTCTTTTTGTATTAAATTCCATCTGTTTACGTAATCCAAACCAAACCAAACTCACTGCCGTCGAGTCAATTTCGACTCATAGGGACCCCACCTTGGGTTTTTGAGGAGGTATCACTACAGAAATAGTTTGCCCAACCTTCCTTCTGAGGAGTGGCTGGTGGATTTGAACCACCAGTCTTCTGGTTCATTAAGTTATGTAAATTAAATTAACACGTAAAACTGGCATTTACATGTTTGGGGACAAATAGTAACATAGTAAAAATACAACATAACTGCCAGGAGCAAATATGCATGAATGTGTTAGAACACTAGCCTTGAACACTCAGCATGCCATGGGCATCTGTTAGCTTATTTATACAAGAAATGGAGATCACTAGATAACCTAGAAAATGGTTATGTGAAGGTCAGTTAAGAGAGCTTCTTTTACTTTTGTTTAGAGTCTTTTTTCCACAACATTTTTATCACCTAACTCTTGAACAGTATACTATTTAATGTAGCTCATTTTTCCATTTTCTCTTTAGGGATAATTCATACTCTGTTTCAAGGTTATATGCTTGTAGATACCTAATACCTATTTGCTTTTCCAGCTGGAACTACTTACATAGATTAAATTCACAGTTTAAAATCCTGAGATCTTTATTACCTCCAGGCATTTTGGAATCGGAATGGTCTATGGTGGTATTTCATTGTTTTAAAGCATTCCTTCTATGGAAGTGTTATATGGAATTTTTTTTTTTTTTTTTTTAAGAAAGGAGAAATATTTAAATAGATAAATGAAAATAAAAGTATAATATTTTAAGCTATTTCATAAATATTCCCTTCAGCCCAATGGAGATAATCAGATGCCTGAAAGAGTCACAAACCTGAGCTTCAGTTAGCTGAAAAAATATTTTTTAATTCTGGAAACAAAGAGAGATAACCTTTTTAGTCTATTAAATGTTAAAGTGGCTTTATTAGGTTAATACAGTATCTCATATTTAATCTTCACCAAAAAATCTGAGAAGTAAGTATTATCCCTATTTTTCAGATAAAGGTTGTTGTTGTTGTTATGTGCTGTTGAATTGGACTCGACTCATAGTGACCCCTCCTTGGGTTTCTGAGGCAGTATCACTATGGAAGTAGATTGCTCAGCCTTCCTTCCAAGGAGTGGCTGGTGGGTTTGAACCTCCAGCCTTCTGGTTAGCAGTCAAGTGCCTTAGGCATTAGGCTACCAGAGCTCCCACACATAAAGGTACTAAGATTCAAAGAATATTAGAGTCAAATAATAGGTGACTTCCCAATCATGCTGTTGTTAATAAGTGGCAGAATCAGTATTTGAACCCCCAGGTCTACTTAACTCCAAAGCCTAAACTCTTAAAATACTTACGTTGTTGCTGCTAGTGCTGTCAAGTCAGTTCCAACACATAGCAACCCTGTGTACAACAGAATGAAACACTGTCCAGTCCTGTACCATTCTCACAGTTGTTGCCATGCTTGAGCCCATTGTCACAGCCAGTGTCAAACCATGTTGTTGAGGGTCTTCCCCTTTTTTACTGACCTTCTACTTTACCAAGCATGATATCTTTCTCTAGGGACTGGTCCCTTTTAACAACATGACCAAGGTACAAGTGACAAAGTCTGGCCATTCTCACTTCTAAGGAGCATTCCAGCTTTACTTCCTCCAAGGCAGATTTGTTTGTTCTTCTAGAAATCCAAGGTCCATTCAGTATTCTTGGCCACCACCACAATTCAAATACATCATTTCTTCTGCAGTGTTCTTTATTCATTGTCCAGCTCTCACACGCATATGAGGCTATTGAAAATACCATGGCTTAGGTCCCAAATAATTACAGAACCACCTTTAAAATAATCACTCTGGATCATATCTATATATGATATTTTACATACTCATGTATACTCTAAACTCTGAATCTACAATTTATTATTTGAATATAATTCAGAATAAAGAGGGAAAAGAATACAAACCTTTTGCCCTCATCCTGACTCTAGGGATGCAATTTGAAAGCATGCAAAGGCTAACATTCTTTTCTTTATCTGCTCTAGAGAGGTAAGCTGCTGTTATTTTTATTGTTGTTAATATTTTCTAGACACTGTGCTAAATACTTTTGAAGTATATTTATCTCATTTCATGCTTATAACAATCCTGCAAGGGTAGCTATTAATATGTTCATTTCATATGAGGAAATTTAAGACAAGTTTTTAAGTAACCTAATTGAAGTTACACAGCTAGTAAGTGGCAGAGATTGGATTCACAATGAGATTTTTTAAAATAATTTATGTGAAGTTAGAATGATGTTGAAGTAGAAAGGAATTTAAAAAAAAAAAAAAAAACATAGGGAAAGAAGCTCAATACCTTTCTGGGAGAGAACAATTATTAATATGTCCCAGAAAAGTAA